ACGCGAGCGACTTGTCGCAAATTGCTGACACGATTTCTTGTGTTCGATTGACAAAAATAAAAACCGGATTCTTGTGGATTCTGGAAACCATCGATTTTGATGGTTTCTTGGAGGGATTCTGCTTTTCAGAAATAATTTGACTTATTAATGGAATTCGCAAGGTGAGCCACCTTGCTCCTTTTTAATATCCAATCAGAGTCCATCACACCTTGTTTCTTACACACGATTGGCTATAACACTGGCAGAAGAGGTTACAATTTTGAACTGTTTGGACGCTTGAATTTTGTAGAGTTTTGTGTGATGCTGCATTGTGCACTGATGAGTTCACTCCTACTACCGAATTTACCGTACATCTGTAACACCCAAAATTCAAAATGTTTCCGAAATAGTTACAACTCAATGGTAAAGCTGAAATATATACTACTATTGTTTCCGCGCATTTGAATAACTATGATTGGACAAAATGTTTCGCGCGGTTTCACATTTATTCAGAGTGCACGACATACACGTCACAGGCCAAATGACTGCAGAACCACCACGTAGCCGCTCCAATACAGGGAAGCGCAAGGTCATATCCTTACGCTTCAAAGTCAAAGTAATTCAAGCTTACGAGGCTGCACTTGCACTGCCAAGACATTCTATGCAATAGGCAAGGCCTTCGGCGTGCAGACAGGTCAAGTGTCGCGTTGGGTACTCCAGAGATGATTCAAAACGCTTTTCGAGCTTGCGATATGCAATAATACATGTAATTCAACATCAAAGTACATCATTGATTGAATGGATTGATTTTGCATGATCCAAGATCTATTGTACTCCTCAATGTGGTCCATCAGTACAGCTCTTACAAGTCCAAGGCACCTATTCGATCGATTGCGTTTCGAAGCACTGTTATCGACTCTGTAGTCTTCTACAACAATTGCAAACTTGTTCGCATACTTGGCTTTCGTGTTGACCAAATGACGGGGAAGAAAGCCGACATGGCAGAGTTGCTCCGCACCAATAATCTTGTAAACCTTGAGGGTTTCTTCGAGTCCTTCAGCATTCAATCGCATGACCTCGCATCAAAACACAACAACATCGTTGACGGCCAGACTATCACCAAAAACCTCGTGTGCAGGGCAGCTTCGAGTCCCTTCGCCGCTCGAGCAGCCAACAATTCCCCGTCATTTGGTCAACACGAAAGCCAAGTATGCGAACAAATTTGCAATTGTTGTAGAAGACTACAGAGTCGATAACAGTGCTTCGAAACGCAATCGATCGAATAGGTGCCTTGGACTTGTAAGAGCTGTACTGATGGACCACATTGAGGAGTACAATAGATCTTGGATCATGCAAAATCAATCCATTCAATCAATGATGTACTTTGATGTTGAATTACATGTATTAATGCATATCACAAGCGCCGAAGGGATCACAGTTGCCCGCGAGGCAATGAGGGTCTTGTCTTTGACCCAACGCGACACTTGGCCTGTCTGCACGCCGAAGGCCTTGCCTATTGCATAGAATGTCTTGGCAGTGCAAGTGCAGCCTCGTAAGCTTGAATTACTTTGACTTTGAAGCGTAAGGATATGACCTTGCGCTTCCCTGTATTGGAGCGGCTACGTGGTGGTTCTGCAGTCATTTGGCCTGTGACGTGTATGTCGTGCACTCTGAATAAATGTGAAACCGCGCGAAACATTTTGTCCAATCATAGTTATTCAAATGCGCGGAAACAATAGTAGTATATATTTCAGCTTTACCATTGAGTTGTAACTATTTCGGAAACATTTTGGGTGTTGCAGATGTACGGTAAATTCGGTAGTTTGATTGGTTTCCCTACTCTGTTCATTCTGTGGCTATGATGTGATGCTGGTGACACTGAGGAGCTCTGGCTCCTCACAACTCAAATGCCATCTCCAACACACTGAGCCCGACTTCATTGTGTTCATCAGTTGCACTCGCGTCTATTCCTTTGTTGTGCGCTCGCTCTATTTGATCTGATAACGATGGGTGCCACCAGGACGTCTTGCGCCACCCGCCCGCGCAACCACATGATCACATCAGCAGGGAGGTTTACGGCACCGACACGGACTGGATGGGGAGCGACTGGAGGAGCTCAGGTGGATCGACGACGTTCAGTTGCGACGGCAGACGACGAAGGACATCCACGCACTCCTGCTTCGGGAATGGAGGCAAGATTGACGATGGGGTGGGATGGGTACACACCTGGTCGAAGACATCCATGTGTCGACGAGTCTTTGAGATGCTGGTCAAGAAGGGGGATATGCGCCGAGAAGTGAATGTGTCGTCGTTCCACCAACTTGGCAACAGCCTGCACCATCACCACAACATCGAAGACCACTCGTGGTTTTCGCGTCTCAAGCAATTGCACCCCGAGAGCCGTTCCGAAGTGGACATACTTAACCGAGATCATCGCAAACTCATCGAATTGGAATCTCGCGTGGCGTCCGGTAACTACCATGCCCTCGTCGAGTTCGTCGAACACCTTATGGACCAATTCAACCGCGAAGAAATGTTGTCTGTGCCGTGGCTTCTGGAGGGCACTGGTGAGTTGTAAGCCAAGTTAGGCTAGCTGCAGTAGCCCCAATGAGGGATGACCACAGTCATTGGGTTAGTATGAACCAACATTCCATAAATAATTCTGAACTTGTATACCGTAGTTCAATTATAGATATGTTCAAGTTTGTATTGTTCATTTTTACTGTTTTTGGAATTCGCAAGGCATGTCACCTTGCGAATTCAAAATTGTCCAATTTGTCCAATCAGATGCCGTGAAATCACGAAATTGCCTATTTCACCTTGCTTTTTCTGGTTAACGTATTAATACACTCGGAGTTTGGGGTTTCCGGGTGTTTAATCTATTCTCCGAGTATGACAGTGATGGAAGGACCGTCTCAGTCGTGACCACATGTGACCAAGTTGTCCATCGCATTGTCCTTCTTCGCCAAGTATTTAAGACAGTCAGAGTACTTGAATACCTCAAAATAGCACATTGTATTTCGTTTTCCTGCTGTCAAATGACTAAAAAGTGCAGTCATAGATAGTGGAGCCAATGAAAAGAAGCAAAAACCCATGCAGACCAATGATATAGATTCAATGTCCAGGATGTGGCCAATACAATACCAGTGTTCTTGTGAATTTTCTGCATTTGGGTGGATTCTAAAATGTCGAGTTCCAATCGTGTTTTCTGCAACTTTTCGACAGAATCCGGATTCTGGAGTCAGAATCCATTTTTGCTCCGAACACGGCCTAATGGCTCCAGATCCTTTTCTCGCTGTTAGCAACTTTCACCTCCAAAATCATGGCGGATTGAGTGAATGCCTTGGACACACACAGCGTTCCTGGAAAAACTTCACACGGCAAAGGTATGCTCAACCTCGTTCATGGCGGTTGTCGATCGGTTGCGCGTAGTGATTCGACAGCAAGGCACGTAGAATTGATCATCGGTAACAAATCATACGTTGCTTTGAGAGCCGCCTTGACGTCACCATACGCCGCGTCGACATTCCACAAATCTGTCGGCCACGAAAACAACATCTCAAATGAGCGTTTTTCGTTGCCAACATCGACTTCAATGTGATTGGTCATGCAGGGTTCTGCGAGGAGAACACGGACGTAAAGGTTAGAATTATAGAGAGAATATCAATTATATAGCTCATTTATACGTATGCATCGTACAAATAGCGCCAATGGCGTGACATGGACTTTCTCATGTCCAATTGTAGCACTGCGGGAGGAAGCGTATGTAGTTGAGGGCAAAATGCACAATGAATTAACTGAAGATCTACTAAGATCTCCTTAGTCCTCATCCCTATGAACCTTCTTCGTCTACTTCACTACTGTTGACGGGGCTTGGGGCGAGGGAACCAGTAAGTGTTACCAATTGTAGCACTGCGGAAGGATGCGTATGTAGTTGAGGGCAAAACGCACAATGAATTAACTGAAGATCTACTAAGATCTCCTTAGTCCTCATCCCTATGAACCTTCTTCGTCTACTTCACTACTGTTGACGGGGCTTGGGGCGAGGGAACCAGTAAGTGTTACCAATTGTAGCACTGCGGAAGGATGCGTATGTAGTTGAGGGCAAAACGCACAATGAATTAACTGAAGATCTACTAAGATCTCCTTAGTCCTCATCCCTATGAACCTTCTTCGTCTACTTCACTACTTCTACGCTAATATGCACTTTTGTAGACAATGGATGCGGGTGCGGTTGAGACATTGGGGGACTTCACTAGGCTAGCGATTCTAAGCCATACTTGCCCTTGAGACACATCCCTAGGCAAGCATTAGCTAGGGTGCGTCATGAGCCAGGTACTTAGGAGCTGGGTGCGGGCAAGGAGGTGACAAGGCGTTACCCCCACCTGTCACATCGCTACATTCTTCCCCTGACGTCTTGCTACACCTTGAAACGCCTAAGTCTTAGACGAGTTGCTTGAAGTGCACAACATGCTTGATGTCCTTCATCAGTTCCCACGTGGTTTCGCTTTCGGGCTGTCTGTGCCACTTGACCAAGTACTCCAACTTGCGTTTGAACTGGCTCATGTTGAGCATTTTCTCGACAATGTACATTTTTTCGCTGGTGGATTCGTCTAGAACAACAGGAGTAGCTTTCGGGATAGGTCGGGAGGCAAACTTGGCTTCGTTGGGGTGGTAGTGCTTAAGTCGATCAACGTTGAACACGTTATGCACACGTGACATCAAGCAAGGCAGCTTGAGGAGCATGGCGTTGTCATTAATGGCTTGGACAGTCTCAACGGGACCGATGAATCGTGGAACCAGCTTGGGATGCTCGGACTTGTGGAGCATCTGGGCATGCTTTAAAGGCAGGTTGCGAGTCGCTAGCAGTACTTGATCGTTTTTCTTGAAGGTCACGTTCGAGCGGCGCTTGTCATAATACCCCTTCTGACGCTGCTGGGTCTTCGTCAAATTCTCGTGAGCCATCCGAATGACTTCCTTTCGATGTTCCGCAAAATTCTTGGCAAAGTCACTCTTGGGCAAGGAGCCGCTTACATCAGGGTTGCGCAACTTGCGGCCTGTGTCGACTTCGTACGGCGTCAAGCCAGTTGATAATTGGACTAAGCCTTGGTGGGCATACTCGATCGTTGGCAAATGGTCGACCCAGTCTTGTCCTAGATACGACACTTGACATCTGAGCGCATCTTCGAGAGTTCGATTCTGGCGCTCAGTCGCTCCATCGGCTTGAGCTCTGCCGGCGGCGGTCATGGCCTGGAGGATACCCATAATCTCCATGAGGGACTTCCAAAACGTGCTTGTAAACTTGGGGTCACGGTCGCTGATGATCATTGCTGGTAGTCCATGGTGGCGGACAACATGTTCGAAGAATTCCTTCGCCGTTTGGGGTGCATCGACATCTGATCTCGTCGGGATGTACTTTGGCCGCTTGGAGAGCTTGTCTACCACGACCAAAATAGCATCATAGCCTCTTGACACGGGCAAACTGGTGATCCAATCCGCTGAAACAGTTTGCCAACACTCTTGCGGCGCGGGAATGGGAATCATCTTGCCATTTGCACACAGACTGCTCGTCTTGTATCGGCTGCATGTTTCACAAGTCTCGACGTATAACTTCACGTCTTCAGCAAAAGTGTTCCAGTAGTACCACTGCGCTACACTTAACATTGTACGTCGAGTTCCAGGGTGCGCGGCAGTGCTTGAATCGTGCGCGCAAGATAAAATCTCGGCGCGTAGCACGTCATCGTTGGGGACACATAGCTTCTAAACTTGGTCTTGGCTTCGCAGAAAGCAGAGTCCTTCCTTCCACTTGAAGGCTTCACCTTTCATTGACTTTGTCCCTGAGTCCTTTGCGTATGCCTTCACAAAACGTTCCTTGGGTTTGGTATCCATCTCGACGGTGCTAAAGGACACTTGCTTCGAGTGGTTTACGTTAGGCGTTGAGGCACTAGCACTGCTTTTTGCTCCTCCAACTCCGCCCCCCAAAAAGGAGCGTCGACAATGACGGCGATGTCACGAGTCGTGTAGGTGGAGAGAGCCGAGGCATGGACAAGAAGTCGATTTATGCGCGCCGCGACTGAGGCACAGTGGATGCCACACGCGTGGATTAAGAGCTGGTGAACGGTGGAGGTGGCATGTGGAGGCCGAGACAAGGCATCAGCTACCACATTCAACTTGCCCGGGCGATGATGGAGGGCAAAGTCGAAACAACTGAAAAAATCAAGCCAACGCGTCAACTTGGGCGTTAGGATCGGCGTTGTCATGAACCACTTGCAGCAGGAGTTGTCGTTGTATACATCGAACCGATTGCCATGCAGGTAATGTCGCCACTTGCTCAGAGCCAACTTAATGGCGTACAGTTCTTTTTCGTGTGTGGGCCAATTCTGTTCGTGAGGACCGAGGCGCTTGGACATGAAAGCAACGGGCCGATCATTGCCGTCGCCGTCGAGCTGGGAAATGACTACATCACAGCAGAAACCAGAGGCGTCGCTGGTAACCACAAAAGGCTTGTTGAATTCAGGCAACTGCAAAACAGGGGCTTGCTGCAACGCGAACTTGATTGTCAAGTACGCTCAATGCTCGTCCTCGCTCCAGTGCCACTTGACTCCTCTCTTTAGCAATCCACTAAGGGGACGGAGAGCTCCGCGAAGTCGGGGATGACCTTGCGGTGGTAACTGGCAAGTCGACAAAACTCATGACGTCTTTGCTCGACTGAGACTCCGGCCATTTTCGATTGCAATGACTTTGGACTGGTCCACATGGAGGCCATCTTTCGAAATGGTGTGACCCAAAAAGTTGACCGAGTCGACACCAAACGAGCACTTGGAAGGACGCGCGTATAGCTTCCCGGTGCGAACGACAGTGCAAATTGAACGCAAATGATCAGCGTGCTCTTCGATCGTCCGCAAGAACACACAAATGTCGTCCATGTACACCACGACAAAGTCGAACTTGTCAAACAATCGACGCATAAGGCGAGACCAAATGCCTGGCATGCCTGCAATACCCATTGGGGCCACTACCCATTCATAAACATTGCGATGGGTCCTGAAGGCGGTGTACTTCCTTGCTGATGGCATCACGAGCATTTGGTGGTAGCCAAGTCGATCTTCGTAAAGACTCAGCATCCGTGCATGCGATCAAACAGGTCTTCAATGTTGGGCAGCGGGAAATTTGGCACGATGGACTGAGAGTTGACATGGCGGTAATCCAACACCCATCGTAAAGGGGTGTCGAGCGTGGCGGTACGAAGCCACTCACGGCGTGAAAGCATCTGACCATCATCATTACGCTTGGGAACACTTAAGATGTTGGATACCCAGTTGCTGTTCGAGAGCTCGATCCAGCCCTTTTGCAATAGATCGTCGACGAACGTGTCCAAAGAACCTGCTTCCACCTTGGACAATCGGAATGGGGGTCGATACTGGGGTCTCGCGTCAGGCTTCATTGTCAAATCAAACTCAATCCCACGCGGCGGTGGTAACGTGTTGAGTAACTTGTCGGGAAACACGTCATGAAATTTATCCACGACCCTAGCCACGAGCGGGTGTAACTTCTGCTGAGGTTCCGTTTTCTTCGTGA